TAACTGATTATCATAAACAAGAAAGAGGGAAAGGGGGAAAGCGAAAAGGGAAGAATGGGAACCTGTGGGGAAGAAGAGGACGGCGATCCAGAAAAAACGATTTTTCGAATGAATTTATAAATTCTGCGCAAAAATACGCTGGGCCCAAACACTCCCAAAGCCTGCTAAGCAAAAAACGCTCTTCAGGAAAAAGTCAAACTTTCGAAAAGTGCGCTTAATAGGTGGGGTGCAGTATGTAAAATAGCGACCATACGAAAAAGCAAAATCTGATAGGCAAAGCATGCTGGTCATTTTGCTTGCAATCGGTGGAGGCCGCATATTAATGAATGGTATTTGTAAGGAACTAAACGACCTCAGGAAAGTGATGCACAATTAGCAGGTGTTAATGCGAAGGCAGAACCCTGGATCGAAGGCCCGGCAAAGTTGTGCCTGATGTGCGAGTCCACTCCAATATCAAGAGTACCAACACTGTGGGTATCCTCCTGCTAGTGATATTACTGTGATGCTCCCACACGTCCAGCGCAGCTGCGCCAGACCCTTCGATACTAAACTGCACGTCTGCAGATAGTACTTACCGCCTGTTCTATGTTTATCCGCCACCTTTTCGGCAATCGCCCGAGAGGTCCCTCATTGGGTACCATTTACTAATGTGCATTGTTCACCAACTGTCGTCAAAGCGAGTAACACGTCCTACCCACCGGATTTTACTTTCTTACGTGGGTACAATCATATCCTGAACGCCATTCATCTGACAGACAATCTGATTGTTCATATGGTCGCGGAGAGATATATCAAGCATCTTTCGCTCCACCGCTCTATCGCGATCCCATCACCAGTAACAACGAAATACAAAAAATTTACTTCAAAAAGACGTTTCTCCCAGTGTGTGAATGCAGTACCATCACCACCTTGATTTTCCAGCTCCGCACCTTCTAAATCATTGCATGCAAAATGCCTTCGAGCTTCCATCTGCACACGAGGTGTTATCATTATGTGTATTGGATGTGATACCTAAACTATTTACATGAGAATTGTTTTTCAAAAAAAAAAAAATATGGAAATTCATCGTTGAAAAAATTCCTCGCATTTTACTTCGATTACATGGGCGTCCTCTGCAGAGATATACGAACCTAACGCATGGTGATCAATAATAGACGGCTTAGGAACGAAAGTCCAGGCACAGCTGCCCCCAATATGCGGGAGTTTTCTGTGAAATCACTGACATGGGACCCCTGTACCAATTATTCGAACAATCTTGGTAATCTCAGTATTTACACTCAATGGCGCAACCAAATTTCTTCAGAAAAAAATTTTTTTTCAAATTTTAAAGCGAGAAAATCGCTTTAGTATCCAGTTTTTTGATCTCAAAAAATGTTCAACAAAATGATTTAAAAAAACATAAGCAGCGAAATTATTAAAGCTTTTTTAAAAAATAAAGACTTCACTTTAGCACTAAAAAGCTTTTGTCCTTCTTTCGTGTCTCCAAATTTACTAATGCTTTTCTATGCAGTATCAGTACATCCAAAAAAAAATAATTTCTTCATTCGGATCAGCTATATTTCGTGCTCTGCTTCCTCCACTATGCAAGCAGCTTGCTTTTTATTTGCTGTGTCCAGTACCGCATCGCCTAGTGGTCAGTCTACTGACAATTCCGACCTTCGTTTCATCTTCTGAAGGAATGACCAATTCAGCATTTCTCTCGACAGAAGCACCTGGCAAGGTTTTGGCCACTTTGAGATGCTCAAGAAGCATGCCAACTATCAGCGCTGTCCGTCCCAAACGTTGCCAATTCTAGGCCACGATCAGGTACTGCCTTACTGATCAACGCACGGTAAGACAAGAGCAAAGTCAGGAGACGTAGATATCTCCCTCATCACACGGTCCTTTTTCCCTAACTGCTTCAAAATTAAAAAAGTTGGTTTTC